ATTCTTAGAAAGAGCAAGAGAAAACGTGAGAAAAAGGCATTTCTAGATAAATACTTTTAAAGCACCCTGGATTTTTCAAGTTGACAGAAATTTCCGGGGTTTTGTCTGCTGTTTCACAAGATCAGAGTCGCAGGCATCATCCTTTTTTTGTGCCTTTTCATGGTGTCGGTAACGGCATGCTCAAACAGACAACAGACTTGCCACTTTTCCGGGTGAATACTCGGAATCGAGTCGGAATGAGACACCCCTCTAACCGGGCTTAACGACAGGCCTGAGGGTAGCGGTTTGTAATTAACGATTATAAGAATAGAAAGCTCTTGAGAAATTAGGTACTTAAAAATATTTTTTCTTATTTTTAAGGGCTTTGGTAACAATTTATTAATTTTTTCGTATGGAACTGGAGAGCCGCAACTTTACATCAAAAGAGCCACCTGTGGCTCGCGAGCCACAGGTTGCCGACCCCTGGATTCAAAAGTTAAAATGATGATCCTAGACATTAGTGACCCCTTTATAAACAAACACACAACATGTACAATTTGCACGACTTAAGCAAAATTTATCTCGGGAGTACATATTATGCTAATTTCTACTCATTGTTTAGTTTTAAAAAAATAAGTTGTCACCAGCATAATTTTATGAACTGAGCAACTCACACATAGTAAATGTTACCTGCATGTAATTAAATTTTATTTATATTTAATAATTTATCCCCTCTGTTTGAGATCAAGCCTTGATCCATCAATACCAGACAGTTGCCCTTAAACCAATGAGGAAATTTGAGCCATTCATCTATAGTAGGAAAGCATATCTTAATGACAATAAAAAGAATATATGACAAGTGCTTAGAATAATCCTTCCATAAACCAAGGTACATAAGACGTTTTATACTTGTCTGAACTTCAGCACGCTGATTTCAAGAGAGACGCCCAAACCTCTCAAAAGCAGTCGTGGGAGTAACCCTAAGACAGCCCGCCATGGTTACACAGACCTTTTTTTGCAGTCTAGATCTGATGAAGCTCATCTTAATCCTAGACCACCGGGTAGTTGTGTTGTGCCATATGTGACAATAGGACTAATAATCATTGAGTACATCCAGAGCCGGATTATACCTTTCGTGGGCCCTCCCCTCCTTCCTCCTTTTCAAAATATATGCTAAAATTTTCTAGCATATTTTTTTTTACATTTTAATTAATATGGATTTTAATATACAAATTTGCTTAGCGAACTTTATCTGCAATACCGACATACTGCCGATATAGCAGTAGATATCGATAATACCATTATGATTAGTTCGATCGATAACAATGTTAAAGATAAACTTGTGAATACTTTTCCTAACGTTCACATTGCATTAAGAATATATTTGTCGATTCTTGGATCAAATACAGAAGGAGAAAGATTTTTCTCCAGATTAAAATTGATAAAAAATTATTTGCGTTCAACAATGATCGTTTAGCATCGTTCGCACTTATGTCTATTGAATACGACATTTTGCGTAGTCTTGGAATTCGACAGCTAATACAAGATTTCGTTGAATCCAAAAATCGCGTGAAAAGTAATATATTAGATCATAAGATTCTGCAAAATAATTTATTACCGAAAAATATTATATTTTTAAATGTATCTTCATGATTTTGTGCAAAATACACTTGTTTTTAAAGCTAAATTATTTTTGTCAAATTTTTTTCTCCCAAGTTTTTCGTAGACCCCTGAATTTCGTAGGCCCTAAGCACGTGCCTATAGGTTAATCCGGCCCTGAGTACATCATTAAGTAAATCTTGGGGCATAAGCACCAGGTTCTATCAACAGAATTTCTAAAAGACCAAAACATACCCTGCAGACACAGTATTACAGCCCACCCACCCCCCGAGAACAATACTTTCTCAGCGAGTTCTAACCTATAATCAAAGTAATACACATCACCTAGATTAAGACGGCTTTTCCTGGTGAAGGCTACGAGACTTACCTCAGAAGGGTTAACACACAAGCCAGATTCAGAGCATCATCTAGAAGTGCACCGTTCACAATTTCAGACTGTTTTGCCTCTGACAACAACATAATCAACGTACCCAACACAAGGAATGGGGGACAAAACCCCTCCTTAAGGGTAGCCGGAAACGTTTTTATATCACTGCATTTTAAGTGTTTTTGAAAGACATTGTTAACACGTTGAACGCCATGCTAATTTTACATGGCTTGCCTATCAGGCCAAAATGATTTTCTCAGTATGTATTGCATTAACTTCTTCAAACCATTTTAGTACTGATTACAATATAAAAAAATTAAAAGCATTAAAAATGTACTCGAATTATGTGTTCCTAATATTCTTAGCTTCGCACGTCACCGGTGACCTCGGCGCTAAGAATAAACCCGGTTCCGGTCACCCCCAAGGCATTCAACGTGTTCATGTTTCATAATCTTTATCAGAAAAATAATTTTTTTTAGTACTTAAGGTTAGTTTTAAGAATTAAGAGGATTTTTTTCAACTTTAGTTTTTTTAATATATCTTATAAACTTTTCCAATTTAGCTTAATATCCAATTATCTTCTTTACCCCACACTAACAATACAGCGAAGTTATGAGTATCTTTCAATAATAACTTAACATCACTGTTTTTTTTTTCCAAATGGTGCTATTAGGTCGCCAAATCACTATTCGGTACATCTCTACCTTCCATATTACTTCCCCTTCTTAAATTTTTAGCAGTACACCTCTACTTTTTCGATTCTGTAACTTTTTGTAATCTCTTAATTATCTAAATTAATATTTCTATTCTTTTGCTAACTTGATATATGTAACCTTGCAACATGCCAAAATTTATGCAACAGTATGTTTAATAGTAGACTAATTATTTGGCATTAAAATTACATAAAATAATGATTTCTTATGATTCTTATTTCTCCATAAGTATATGTTAATGGTGATCTGGGATAGGCTACAGTTGATAAATATTCTAAAACTTATTAGTCAATTTAATATTACTACCCTACTTTGAAGGATTCACAATACATTTTTCAATTACACTTGCCCAGATTGTCACTAGTTGAATTTATTTTTCAATAATTTTTAGAAATAATTCATGGAAGAGCAACTCAACTCAGGACATTTCTTAAATGTGATTTACAGTAACTTACATAAAAACTAACATTCTCTTTTCTGCTTTTAGATTCATCCAATTCTACAAGTATTCCCTGTGCATCAGTTGAACCTGTCCTCATTATTGCACTACTACTTCAAATACTTAAATTTCATGCAGACTACATTTGAACTGAAATAAATGAACTAATATACGTGATATGAAATAGTGAACTCTCAAGCCTCAGCTTTAAAATTGTACATATGGAACTACAGATCAATTTAAGCCTTTATAACCTAGGCACTGTCCCCCATCATAAAACTTATGTCTAATATTTAATTGAAATTATATTGTTTCGTTTTGTTTTAGATCTGAATAAATGACTTGTTTACATTCAATTATCTATTTTTCATGGATAAACACAATGATGGAAAAAAAGGAAACAAATAAATAGAATGAGTTTAATGATAATATGAAATCAAAGAATTTATAACAGCATTTTACCACATTTCTTTTATTTATAGAGATTTTATACACAACATTCACTTTAATTCCTTAACCTGCAAACCTAAAAGAAAAAGGGAATAAAATGTCAATATAACATAATTACATCAGTTACAATTTAAATGTTGGGTAAAAACACTTTGATAGAAAATGACTCAGCCAAATTTTTTAAATTAACAACCCAATAATTTTGAATTTGTTAAGACCTAACTAATATTAATACTGAATCAAACAAACAATAATTGTACTAAAAAGTTCAAGACCTACAGAAGAAGTAGAATATCGCAAAATATCTACGCGCAAAATATCAAGGCGCAAAATATCTACTTGCCAGCTCGCAATAGGTGACCAAATATTTAAGACTGGCGAGTGTTCAGTCTTAAATATTGTGCTTCAAACTACCTCTTTTTCCCAGCTTGCAGCAGACACATCAAAAATAATGCGCAAGAGTTTCAGCAAGATTAACAAAAAATTTAGCAAAAAGACAAAAATCTGTCATGTGTATAACACCTCTGCATCACAAAAAAGGGCAGTCATTCAACACCATAAAAATTCATCATTAATTGATAAGCAACTTAAAAGATTTTTTTTTATTTCATTTAAATTGCAAATTTGGAGAAAATAAGCATTTAAAGTAGCATTTTTAAGAATTTTTTTTTTAAATTAAAACCATTAAAAATTTAAGGAATTGAGGATAATCCTAAAAGTAAATATTTGTAGTAGAAATCATAATTAAACCTATAAACAGATAATTTTACAAGTGTGTAATTATTTAATAATAACGTTGACCCAGATAATAACGTTGTGCTATTTTAAATTTTTTAGTTTTTACTATCTGTTATGGTCCACCAAAAAGTTTTTAACTGTCAGAAATTTTTCAACTGCTTACATTTTTTAGAGCAAACAGTGCGAGCAACTGACTCGCATAGTAAGATAAAACATTAAGTATCTGCACACACAATCCATAAGTACTGGCAAGCTCATTTTATTTATGAATATCAAAAATTTTATTAAATATAGAAAATTTTATTAAATATCTAACTAACAAAAACTACCTAATATTTTTATTTATTCTAGACAATACATATATTTATATATATGCATGCACATTAAGAACATAAGAGAAAGATTAATAGAATTAGAAATTTAAGAATTTCATTCATATAAAGCATAGGTTCCCAAAGTGGTCCAGGTGGACCCCCAGGGGTCCATAGGAGACCACACGGGGGTCTACGTAGACGTGAAAAGAAAACAGGGGTTCACAAGTTGTAAGTGGGGGTCCACGAAAAATTTTCTGGTTTTCATAATAAAGAACAAACATTTTGGCTTGGATTTACCTATCAACGTAGGCAGGTAGCATCATTCACTAGGTAGGTACTCATAAATATTCGAGACTCAGTTCAAACACAGAATTGAATATAACAATAGATAATAGTACAAGTGTTCACCACATGTTGAGATTTGCAAAGTGCCGCCCGCGCTCCCGCTTGCATTTGAATACCCTGCATGATGACTTCAGAAATAGATTTGAAGATATTCTGATGATGGAAATTCCACCATGGATCATAACCCCATTTGATGAAACAAAAGAGGCGAATGTACTATTACAAGAGGAGCTACTTGAACTCAGCACCAACTGAAGGTAAAATTTAAAAAAGGCTATCAAACATTTTGGCTGCAAGCAGAAATCCCTGAAAAATATCCTGGGCTGTGGGAAATTGCGAGAAATGTTTGATAACGTTTCCCTCGTCATATCTTGTTGAAAGAAGTTTTAGTGCCGTTACCAACCTGTTAACAAAAAAAAGGAGCAGATTGAACATCACAGAACGGGGAGATTTGAGATTACTTCTTACAAAACTGAAGTCAAATATTGATCATTTGCTGTCAATTCATCAAGTACATCCGTCTCATTAAAAGTATGACTATTTTTTATTGTTGATTTTTTGTCAATTGTTGATTTTTTGTAATAGTTAATGTTTATAATTTTGTATAACCACAAGTATTATTTTAATAATTGGGACATAAGAAAATGTGCTGCTTTTTTTTTCTTCGTAACTCCCCCAATTTAGGGTGATATTTTTTAGGAGTTATGGGAATACAGTAGAAATGTAGCAGCAGGGGGGTCTACCGAAAATAGTAAAACTTGGAAAGTGGTCCACGAGAAAAAAAAGTTTGGGAACCTCTGATATAAAGTAATTATCATACAAAGTAATATTAGTAATTCAGGGGTCTGTCTAGGTTTTTCTGAAAGGTACCTATTTTGTGAAAATTTTGACATAATTTGTGAAAAATTAAAAATTATATTAAAAAGTCAACACAAAAACATGGTAAAAATATAGATTTATCGTTTCTTAAGGGATACAAAAATAAAATTTTAAGAAAAAGTATTTTGTGAAACTACCGTTTATCCAAAGTTGAATTTGTGAAACTACCGTTTTACCTAAAATTGAATTTTTGAAGGTACCGCTAAACGGTAGTAAATTCGGCCTGGACAGAAGATCCCTGTAATTTCACTGCAAATGAAATTACATCAAAAGATTTCCTGTCACAACAAATGTTTATTTTTGTTGTAAAGCGATAGTCGCATCTAGTTGAGTTGTAAGAAAGACTAGCTGATTGTAGCTTGTCCACTAATGATGATATATCTAATCTTTGGGCTAAAGTGGCAGTTGCATCTTTCCCCCTTGAGAGCAACTTTCATACAACTAAACATTGACATTTTTCTAACGTGCATAATTCATGATTATGTCGTCTGCTTATTATCTTTCCCCCCATTGCCAACTTTCACGCAGATCCTTTTATATAATATTACAATTAACATTAAAAAAGGACGATGTAGATGTAGACTCCTGATGTAGAAGAATATAAAAATCATGTTAAAGAAAACAAATTGTATACAGCTGCTTGAATAATTAGCAGGCATAAGTTCATTTCCTAATACTCGAGTTACCAACTTCTACATGAACTATAAATTGTTGAAACCAAAAGCAACCAAACATATTACATCCCAACAACAGATTACTATCCCTGGTAAAGAAATTTATTGCATTCCAGAAATGCCGACCCCAGAAATTTAGAAAGTATGAGGCTTTTTTAAACCACAACAACAAAAAGAAAAATGTTAAATTCATAATAACAGAATGTACATACTTTCATAAATTTATAAAAGTAAATTTAGCCATAAAAATTTCAAATTTATTTATATATATATATATTGCAAAATAAAGATATTATATATATATATATATCTATAACAGGTTGACCAACTGATTGGTACGCATGCAAACTAAATCCAAGAATATTTGTTCAAAACTTTAAGGATGGGATCAAAACACAAGTTCTGGCACCGAAGGCATAGCTTTGGTTCATGTCCCTCCCTTAAGCATTCACATCATCACCATTAGGGTGACAGAGTGCCAAGATAAGGAGGTTTTCTTAATAAGGCTGAAATAATATCCAAAGAACGTAATCAGAGCACAAATGAATGAAATGAATGCACACAAAAAAGGAAAGACATAATTGATAATTTTTTTTAAAAAATGTGTTCAAAACTTTAAGGATGGAATCAAAACACAAGTTCTGGCACCGAAGGCATAGCTTTGGTTCATGTCCCTCCCTTAAGCATTCACATCATCACCATTTAGGTGACAGAGTGCCAAGATAAGGAGGTTTTCTTTATAAGTCTGAAATAATATCCAAAGAATGTAATCAATGCACAAAAGAATGCAGAAAAAATAAAAGAAAAAATCTGGCCTGAAACAAAGCCTGTCTTAAATATTAATTCAACATCCCAACATCATAAAATAGTTATGACTCGTAACGAAATTCATCGACACTGCTCTAAGCAAATGGTGAGAAGAGCTCTTATTATAAACAGACCACAGCCATTGCTCTCCCTGGGCACTTTTTTTGCACTTTGATCTCAATAAATGCACTTTTTTTGTAAAAATAAACCACTATCCCTTAAAAACAGTACCTTTTTTTTCATATTCCATTTTGAAACAAATTAATTCACTGTTTAAATAATTACCAACTGGTTAAATTATCTGTTTATAGGTTTAATTCTAAATACTATTCAAATATTTACTTTGTTAGGATTACTCTGAACTGAGTAAGTTTTAATAAATATCTTTTATCGGGGGTGGGGGATATTAGTAAACTTCTTAAGTGATTTTAAAACTATTTTTTAATTAAATTTCATTTCTTTTCTAAAAGAAATGAGCCTTCAAATATTTATCTTCTCTTAATTTTTAGATTAAATTATAAATAAATGCTTTTAAGTTTTTTATCAATTGTTTTTCTTTTTGTTAGTTTACTTTTCTTGAAAACATGCACAGAGACTGCATAAAAGGCAATATCTGTGCATTTATTAACAACAAATTTTCCCTACTTTGTTGAGAAATAATTACTTATTGAAATAAACACATAAAATAGCAAAGAGGGTAATTTGAAAATTATTGAGTAGAAAAAATACAGTATTTTTCATAATATTACACATTAAAACATTTTTACAGTGTTAAGTGAGTGTCTTTTTAAAACTATAAGTGCCTTTTCCAGAGAGCCCTGCCAAACAATAAAGCATTCAATCTGACATTAAAAGTAAAGGAATAAAAAAATATTGTTAAAAAGATAATTAGGTTCTTATTAACTTAAAATTCTCAAAATATCCATGTTCAAGTTTGATTCACTTCGTTCAGATAAAAGTCCAGAACAAAGGCGACAAGCTAGCATTAGTATGTGCACAACGAAGATGACTAAGCCAAAAGAAACGCTAAGTCAACAAGTTTATGTGCTAACTTAATGTACAAAGAGATTTATTACAAATAAAATAATAAGTTCAACTGAATATAATAAATTTATAAAAAGTTTACCTAATCACTAGGCTAAAAAATATTAACATGAGCTAAATATTTTTTTTAATGTGCTCTAAGTGTGAGGTACAAATATTTATCTCACTCACTAACAAAATCTAAAATTAAACAGAAGTTTTATCAGCAAATCTTTTCGAATTTTCAGAATTAGAATTCTTACAGCAAACTTAAAAAGATTATTAAGTACTTTAACTTAATTTTCAGAATACCCATGTTCAAGTTTGATTCACTTCATTCAGATAAAAATTCAAAACAAAGGCGACAAACTAGAATTAGTTTATGCACAATAAAGATGATTAAGCTAAAAGAAATGCTAAATCAATGAGTTCTTGTGCCAACTGAATATACAGAAATTTACAAATAAAATAAGTTCAAATGAATTTAATGAACTTAGAAGTTCACCTTATCACTAAACTTAAAAATATTAACATGAGCTAAATATTTTTTAATACTTTCGTGCACCCTAAGAGTTAGGTACAAATATTTAACTCACTCACAAAAATAATCAAAAATAGAAGTCTTATCAGCAACTTAACTCAAAATAAGTAGAACAAAACTTCACAAATGTGATAATGATAACGTCATATATACATACCTGCCAACTTTTACGCATTTGGCGTAAAATTTTATTTTTATATTTAAAGTGGTAGTAAATATATACTAATTTTCCTTTCATAAACTTAATTCATAAATGATTTTGATCACCACTATTCTTAAAAAAATTAAACATACATATTAATATGTGTTAAAATTATGGTTGTCAGTTTAAGCTTTTTCAAATAAAACATATTTTTTTGCTTAAAATTGAAATTTTCATTTCATTTTAATACCACTGGGAAAAATCATAATGGAAGGGATTAACAGTTGGCAGGTATATATATATTTTAATCCGTAAATCCCACACCTACAAATAAAGAACGAGTACAGAATCTTACGAGCATTCAATAATTAACTGATTTCAAATTCAGTGTTCAATTGCTTTAAGAAATTATTTATCAATTACTAATGTACTAAATTAAACATATGAATGCAACCACCAGCAATTATAGTCTCACTAAAGAAAAAAGAATTCTTTAGTCAAACGATAATTCATTAGTGTGCTGCAAGAATTTTAAAATTCTTGCAACACATTTAAAATAAATGCTTTCTAAGCTGCTTATACAACTTAGTCCCTTATTACATTTCTCAACATGCTGATGCAATGCTGATATCAACAATCACTTTTCTAAGAGCTGCGGTGGCTTCCAATGAGGTGAACTGGGTTTGAATTCCAGCAATTGCTGATAGCTACGAATTCCGCACCCGGCCATCACCAACAAATGCAAGTTAGTTCTAGCAAAAAGTCCTCCAGGAAGGCTAATTTTCCCAATACTTGATCCAGGAGTTCCCTTGTCTTTTGGATTGGGTTATTGGGTCAAAATTACAAGACTAGGGAGATGAACATTCTTTTATTTCTTTATCAATGATGATTATTATTACTATACTCAAGATTAACTATAACTATATCAAATTGCACAAAAGGATCACATTATATGTTAAAATTATGTTCAGGAAATTAAGATCATAAAAAAATTAATTTTATGTAATCTTAATATTCCTGGTTCATTTCCTCCTTGAAGCATTCTCAACATCACCACTAAGGTGAAGGAGACCTAGATGAGGAGGTTAACAGCATAATTATAATAAGAGCATTTAGTTTTTTCTTAATGTTCTGTTAAATGTTAGAATAAAAATAAGTCTTTCGCTACAAAACTAAACAAAAACTTTCTGTTACAGGATAAACTCCAGGCAGTTGACATGTGTTGTAACCACTAAGAAAGCAGGTTTTTAAGCATATTCTTCTAGGTATGATGATATCAAAATGAGTTTTTTAATACTTCACTTTTTATAATCCACGCATGCATTTACAATACCAACATATAGAAAAACTCATTTCTTTAGCGTATAATTTTGTGCGAAGCTGCTTATTAAATTGAAAACACTAAGTAAACTCTATTATCATATACAGCTTTTACAAGCAAGTATATTAAAAAATTTTAGAATGATAAACAAAAGGTAATAAAAACAAATTTAAATACTGAAAACTTTCATAAAATACTGAAAAACAAAATCTTTCCACAGAAAATATTATAAAACCATATCATGTAAGTTTTTTTTTTTTAAAAAAATCTATTGAACATCAAAATAAATTTATCACTTATATTAATTTGTTCAAAAAAATTAAGCTCAATAGAGTTTTCTTGAACTTACCAGGTGGCAATGACTGCTTCAGTTTTTCAGCCTTTTCCCTGTCTTGGATCACAAATGTATACAGAAATCTGCTACATCGCACTTTAAATTTTACATTATCCCTGTTTTTCTTAATTTTTACAGCTGGAAAAAAAATATTACTTTAATCTTCACTTCAAACAAGACAAACTTTTGTCTTATCCACAGATAAAACACCAAAATAAATGATACCATATGTTACCATTAAAGTGTGAAATCCGTATTTCCTAGATTAAATAGTTATTTCAGGAAATGACTAGATATTGAATTCTACAACTTAACTAGGTATTATTTAAAATAATGATTACTTGATTGTTAAAATATGAAATAAGGCACAAGACTTACAGCTGCTTTGCAAAGCCGTGTGTGCGTAGACCCCACTGCTCTCATAGTTATTAATATAAGCAATAATAAATAATATATTCTGCTTTTCATCATTATCAATCAATTAATCATTCACAATAGGGATAAAATGTATTTTTCAAGAGTTTTAACTTTTCATAATCAATTAATTTATAAAATAACTTTGAAATAGTTTATTTTTCACTTTACCGGCATTAGTAATAAGTTGTGTGAAATTTTTTTCTTGAATATGTACTTTAACTGACCAATCGAGTTATTTCATGAAATACCTAGTTATACTATGAAATAACTAAATTATACACTTTAACGGTAATATATAAAACAATAAACATAGTAAGCAAAAATGCCTAGATGTTTAAATGGCAGCAATGAATCATTTAGTGTTAAATGTTTTTTTTACACTTTTTTATACAAACATTACTTTAACAGTATTACCTTTATGAAACTTTTTAAGCTAATTTTTAATTTTTAGTGAAAGAAATGAAAATGTTCATCTTTTAAATAACATATGAAATATTATATTATCTAGAACAGGGGTTTCCAACTTACATGAAGCAGGGGGCCTCAATTAAAAACCAGTCAAATGGCGGGCAACAACTTTATCAAAATTTTATATAGGATTCTTTTATGTTTGAAGGAGCACTAAATATTACTGTCAGATTTTTATCAATTTGTACAAAACAAAAGTAGTAAATTACAAATATATGTAGATTTTTACCTAAGAAAAAAAATTTTTTTTTTACCATTGGTGTGTTAAATTATACAGGAACAAAGAAATTAAGTTTTTTTTTAATGGAGAAACGTACTTAAATAAAGGCTTCACAGGCCGGATGTGGCTCGTCGGCCACCAGTTGGTAACCACTGATCCAGAAGATAATAGTGCTATTATGCTATTATTTATGATCTCTAGTAAAAAAGAACCGTTCATAAATGAAGACAATGAGCATTAACTAGTTAATTTCCACTTCACTGTTATATATCTTGATGAAGAAATAGACTATGTTCACTTTTAGAAAACTGATATATGTTGTAACTAGGACTGGGCGATGTAAGAAATTTTATATCATGATGCATCATCAGTTAGACATTGCAATTTAGCATATGTTCAAAAATAATCCTTCAGAAGTCTTTCAAATTATCAAACATAAATAAAAAAGTATATATCTATTACAAAACAAAATGCATTAAGTAAAAACAAACCCAAGCTTATTTTTTTTAAAGATAAATTGGTAATTTTATTTAAAGTTATTTTTTTTTTAAATTAAAATTGACTTAAGATTTATTGGTTTATAAGTAATAATAAAACTAACAAAATATTTTACATGCATGCATTAAAAATTAAAAGGAAAAAAACAAACTGAAGAAATGTTCACTTTAGTAAAACATTTTTCAAATTATTTGTTGAAAAAAAAAATTCCTTTTGAAACATTGTTAGACCTTGTTTAATTTATTTACTATTAAAAAACTTTTTTGAAAATAAAATCGACTGAGGATTTATTTGTTAAAAAATGATACTGTCTAAAACATTTTTAATTTTAAGAAAATTTTAAAAAAAAAACAAAAACTTTTAAGTATTATTGTTAAATTATTAAAAAGGGTCAAAACATTGCTGAACTTTTTATTCAATTAAAAAAAAATATTTGTTTTAACTATTAGCCAAATTTTTTTTATAATTAAAAACGACTGAAGATTTATTTGTTTAAAAATAATCTAATTACTATACACGGGTGNTATTTTACTATTCACCCGTAGCTCCGTAGTTTACCTCCAATTTCCGTAGCAACTACGGAAATTCCGTAGCAGTTGGAGGGTATGATACCCCCATTAAAATGAAAAATAATTAAAAAAAAAACAATGAAGAATCTTTTTTTTTATTTATATTTTCTTTTCATTAATAGATTGATTTAGAACGAAAATTTAAGATAACAGCGATTGCCCAACGATCGCCAAGCGACAGTAGGTCTACTAAAAATAATTGACAAGAATCGTTAAATCCAGACAGACAAAAAAAAAGAAAAAGACGAAGAAAAAGCGACTAAATAATGCACAATGAAATGATCGCTAAGTAACAAAAGTCTTACTGAATATAATGTACATTAAATATTATTAAACTAAATTAATATTCTAATAATAAATATTATTAAACGTTATATCCCTACAAAATAAAGTGCACAGCGATCACAAAATAATATAAGTCCAGCTGAAAATAATCTTCAAGTAAACTTTCTAAGACAAAAAAAACTCAAAAAGAAACTATTCATAGCGTTCTATTTCACCACTGATCCTCACACGAAACCGGGAGCTCTGATTCAATTCACCTATCGTTGTTTAACATAACAAAACTAATAGTCTTCATAGCTAGACGTTATCAACAGCTCCGCAGTTAGACAAAATCAAAATCGTCCCTGTCAGTGCGGTGACCGCATTAGCATAGGCAAGGAATTGCATATGTTAAATGGTTAAACCGCGAGTGTTGCCTTAAATGACAACAGCTTAAATCAGATTTTTAATGCATCGCCTAAAACGAAAGTCTTTATATCGGTTTGCTGATATATGCATTAAATCGATATTTCATAATGCATAGAAGCCCAGTCCTTGTCATAACATACATACCTTTATCAGGGGTCTGTCCAGACAAAATGACTCGTAATTTGAGAATATAAATAAATGTTAGGTCAAATTCTTTCAACCAGGTTCCTGCTTTTGTTCATTCATACTAATAGGGTCCAGTTATTGCGAAAAACTTTTTCAAAGAGTTTTTAAATTGTAAATAGAAATTGCAACAGTCAACACTGTAAAATTATAATTAAAAAAATTATATTTTCAAAAAAAAAGAACAGCAATAGCTGCTACTAAATTAGAGATGCAACATACAAGTATTTGGTTTTTAGCCTGTACAGCTGAACGCAGAATATTCATTCCGGACGAATAAAGGAAGAAGCATCTGCCGAAGACAAAACTTAGTTCGTTTACACCTGTCTTACTTTTTCCCTCCCGGGAAGGGTTTATTTGATTAACAAAACAATAATGAAGATAAACAAAGTTGTGAAGGGTCCGATTAAAAGATAATATATTATGTGAAGGGTCCGTTTTTATGAAGATATTTTGTGAAGGGTCTGTCTTCTAAACAGACCCCTGATTATAATAACACATAACTATAAAATAATCAATTACTTGTAATATTTTCTCCATATTGATCAGGATGGGGCTTAGGACACAATACATCAAAAACCAGTTGACCTTTAGAAATTTGTCAAAAACCAAGGGCAAGATTCATTTTTGACATTTTATTTTTTAAATACTAAATTGTGCACAATACTTGCATCATATACTGCCATAAATATGATTAACATTATCAATCACGAAAAAATAATAGAATTATTGATCTTGGTTTTTCTAATGGTAATATTAATTCTTTAAGACACTTAATTCAGTTTATATTACAAGTAATAATTATGAGTTACTATGTATCAATCTAAATATTTATCTTAATTCTTCTAATTGTTACAAGTTTCAATTTAGGCATATATTTCAGATTTAGTAAAATTACAAGTTTTTGCCCATAATTTAAATTATATTATTGTATCATAAGTTTACTTAATGAACTAATATAAAAATATAAATGATTATTTCCATGAGTAAATTTTTTTACAATCAATTCAAGGGCTTAAATTACTATTAATATTTAATGCAGTTATCAGAATATCCTGGAAATCTAAGTTAAAAATGCTATTTCTTTAAAATAATTTAATTAAAGTTTTAAATCTATTGAATAAATCATAAAATTACTGAAAAAAAATTACATTTAGCATCTTTCCTTCTTGCTGTTAGAAGAAATTCTTTGATTTCCATTATCTGGCGAGGCTGAAATAAAACAAAACTTGTTAAAATAAAGAAAATTCTGACGTGTTGATTCTGAAATATTAAATCTTTAATATTTTTTTCTCATTAAAGAGAAGTATAAAGAAAACAGTAAAAGAACATTTAAATAACCATTTCAAATTATTTTATATCATGCAAAAAATATTCTAAATCTTATCAATTTTTCAAGTTAAAATAAAACTTAATTAAGATAATCTTTACAAGCTAATTCAGGAACATTAAGTGACACTAAATAAAATTCTATACATTTTCTTCAATTATGGCTTGCATAAGAAGGAATATAAAATAAGACTTAACTGGGACACTTATTGTGACTTGTAGTGCCAACTACTATCGCCAAGGAGCCAAATACTTGCCCTGTTGTGGTTACGAGTTAAACCTTTTAAGTATGTCCTTTTTGTGATTTTTTTTTAAAGTTTCTCACAGGCCGATGCCCCAGATCACGATAAGAAATCTTTAGAGTAACATACAACATTGGTAAACAAATTTACTATATTTCTAGCATGAAATTTGAATAATTTACATTTTTCTCATAAAAATAATTTACTTGAATAGTATAGTTTAAGTATGAAAAAAAATTACAAAAATTTTATACTGTGCTGCCCTTTACAATGCTTATGTTACATTTGAACAAATATGGGGAGATTTCCATGTTGTGAATTCGGCAAAAAAACCACCAAGTCTCGCCAACTTCCGAGAGCAACCCTCTAAGAAGTACCCCTCTGGCGTATCACCGGACAAACCTGATTTTTCTTTTTAAAAAACTTTTAAGGTTTAAAAACGAATTTGGCACCTTGACGATTGTAGATGGCGCGGCCAATCACGATACCGAAATGTTTCTCAATTGTAAATCTGAACTCAAGACTAATATATTGAAAGGTTTTGTAGATTCAAGTAAGAAAACAAGCACATAATGCCTAAATAACACTTAATAAGTGAAAACTACCACTACCAGAATTGGATACAGATATGAAATTATCAAAGAGCTGAATTTATTTCAAGAATTAATCCTAATAAATGTCAGAACTTACTACCCTTGATAGCAAAGCATAAAATGCACAATTTGTAGGTATGATAGAAATTCAATTTAAAAATCTATTTCACAACTCTGTTAAACAATAATAAAATTGATAGCAATTTAATTTTAAATATCATTACATGATGTAAGAAACAATATAGAAAATGAATAAGAAAAGAAGTGAAATCAATAGAATTGGTTAACATTGTTTTCAATATTTATCGTATGCGTTGAAAAAAAAATCTGATTAAATTTTGATTTATCAAGACAAGGCAACAAGGAGTTTGAATAACATTGCTCTTAAAAAAACGATTGCTTAACACATTAAGACATTGTTAAAAAAACTGATAAATTTAAGATTCTACGATCGAAATATAGTAAAACTACTTCTTCCTTAATATTCTCGTTTATTTAAAATAAGTATTTTAACACAATAAGATAAGTATTTATAACACGCTTAGAATGTTTAGTGCATGTTCCACTTCTGGATCGAATTATTGTTGCCCCGTAATTAAATTGTACTATACTACATTATTGTGCTATTTTCATATTTACAATATTCTGTATCTTCAATTAATTGAAAAAAATAAGGTGTTACTTACCATTTTGAAAGAGTAAGAGATACTTTGTGGTTTTATCCGAGCTGAAAGTGAAAACAAATATTAGACTTATGGCTGAGAATAAAAACATAATACATATCTAAAAATCATACAGTGATTAATTAGTGATATGAAATGAAATAAGTATGATTCACCCAGCAGATGTTTAAAGATTTGATATCATCAAATTAACAACTTACGTTTTGTTTCTGTCGATGTTTAACAAGAAAAGAGGATAGAGAAATCAATAATACGGGAGATGGTTAACAGTTGGGTCTCTATCTTTTAAGGAATTGGTAACTAATTTTAAACCATAGTTTCTACTACAGAATGGCAACAAGGAGATGATAACGTCTGATCAATGGGCTTTTCGCACTGTGATTGGATACAAAACAAATACTTTAACTTCTATTTATAGTTTTACTCGGATTTGCGAGTAAGATTGGCGATTGCAACGCTTGTATACGCCATCTGGGGAGAGAGCCTTTGACCCTCCCCCCTCCTCCTCCTTTCAGTTGTATTGACGATCGCAACACTCGAATACGCCTGAAGTTGATAACTCGCAACCATCGAACAAGCTAGGAATAAAAAAATGACGTCATTTAGACGTCACGTTTCTACTCCTAGGGAATAGTAGCCTTACTAGGGTAAACCTGTAACCTCGTGCTTTTGAACGGATTACCTAACAATTTGCTCTGGTGAAAGCCTCTCGAATAGGATACTTTTAATGCTGGGATTATATTAGATTTCCGATTTCAAAGATAATTTTAAACCAGATATTCTATTATTTTTGATAATCATTTACCTAGATATTCTATGAATATATTTCAGAAATAATTTTTTCTCTCACTAATTTATTATTTCATATAATAAATCAATTAAATAATTAGTTTCTTGCAGAACTTACAATAAAATCTATAATAATCTTGCACAACTTTAAATAAAACTTGAACATCTTTTTGATCCTAATTTTTGTGTATTCTTAGCCATAATATGTTTAGTATAATTATTGCCATGTTTTTATTAACTTTTATTTTTGTGGCGTAACTACCACTACAAATGTTAAATAACAAATCAGTAGTATATAAAACATGTTAACTCGGTTCTATCTTGAGGTACCTTTTGGTAGATGAAAGTTGACATGTCTATAATTAAATCCCCCACATTTTAACTACCTTGTAATATTTGCAAAATATATAGAGAAAAAGTGCACCCTAGTTTAAAGAGAAACTCATTTTTCAGTGAAGTTTTGAAATTTTTTCTTTAAAAAAATCGGTGAGTTATAACTAAGATTAGTACATACAGAGCCGGATTATACCTTTCGTAGGCCCTAGGCACAGAGCCGGATTATACCTTTCGTAGGCCCTAGGCATAGCCGTTTTTGGGCCCTCCCCTCCTTCCCCCACTCCTCCCCTCTTTCCAAAATATATGCTAAAATTTTCTTGCATATTTTTTTTTACATTTTTATTAATATGGATTTTAATTTACAAATTTGTTTATTGAACTTTATCTGCAATACCGACATACTGCCGATATTGCAGTTGATATCGATAATACCATTATGATTAGTTCGATCGATAACTATGTAAACACTTCAGATCAACAATACAACAACAAACCAGCAAAGAAAACAGTGAAATTGATAGTGAGATTAATTACAAGAAATATTTATACAGTAGAGAACCAATTATCTGGGATGCTCGGGACCATCGCTATCCCGGATGTCTGAATTTCCCAGTTTTCTGGATCGACCAAAAAGTGTCATTAATCGATGTTTTATCGAACCCGAATTACAAGGAAATTACACAAAAATTTGTCAGAATCTGAGATTAAACTAAAAGCGCAAAATTTGGTGAAAATTTACTCATCCGATTTAGAGGAAAACTTTGTAGATGAATTTTTACTATTTTCAAATTTGTATGAACATAAATCTGCACAAGAAATGTTGAAGGCTCAAATTAAAGATAAACTTGTGAATACTTTTCCTAACGTTCACATTGCATTAAGAATATATTTGTCGATTCTTGGATCAAATGCAGAAGGAGAAAGATCTTTCTCCAGATTAAAATTGATAAAAAATTATTTGCGTTCAACAATGAATCAAGATCGTTTGGCATCGCTCGCACTTATGTCTATTGAATACGACATTTTGCGTAGTTTGGAATTCGACAGCATAATACAAGATTTCGTTGAATCCAAAAATCGCAAAAAAGTAATATATTAGATCATAAGATTCTGCAAAATAATTTATTACCGAAAAATATTATATTTTTATTTGTATCTTCATAATTTTGTGCAAAATACACTTGTTGTTTTTAAAGCTAAATTATTTTTGTCAACAAATTTTTTTCTCCCAAGTTTTTAGTAGGCCCCTGAATTTCGTAGGCCCTAGGCACGTGCCTAGTGTGCCTATAGGCTAATCCAGCCCTGAGTACATAATAAATAAATAAGGTTACTATAAGCAAATCGTATATAATATAAATAAGAAGTAAGAATAAATTGTTTACTGATTTTACTGCTGTACAATTTTCTTTTAGACATTTGAAAGAACGGAAGCTTTCACAATATAATCGCTTTTGAAATTATTATGAAGTATTTGATTACTTTAGATGCATAATTAAGAAACATAATTTCATTTCTTTTCACTTGTCTTCTGATAGAACTCTCTTTTAGGTATGAACCGAACCGGGTAGAAGAACCAGGTAAGAAACCTTTCATTGATACCTGTTCTATTGTCTATTGAAGTAGAATAAGAATTAAGTTTTCTTTTTGACATGGCATCCCTTCCGGGATATCGGTTCGTATGTTAATAAAATAAGAATTATTACTATAAACATTTGATTGATAGTGTTATAAAAATAAATGGACACTGGAACTGAAAATCCTGTGAATGATAATAGCTCCAAAAGGGCCATTTCTAAGTTCTAAGCTAATTTCTAACTAGGCTAATTTCTAAGATTGAATCAGAAATTCAAAAAAACGAAATAACTGATGAAGAAACCAAAATTGAACTAATTATTGAACAATTAGATGATAAATTCGAGTCTCTCAAAACAGTTGATTCTGAATTAGAGAATCTGTTTAAACCATAGGATACAGATAAAGAATTAGAAACCACCGAAGAATACCGTGAAAAGATAGTACCTTGGAAACATTTCTCTTTTTTTCACAAACTGTTAGTAAATATAGTTATAAATGAATCGATTCACTTATAATAAATACAATAAAGCAAACAAATACTACATATTAAAGGCCTGTTCAGACGATCCAATTTCTTGGACAGAGATCATCCAAGAACTTAGTCCAACTTCTTGGACGATTGGCGATCGAAATGGGCTGCAGGTGGCGTAGAGCAGAACTCTTTTCCTATGGCAACACTTCACATGATTTCCCCATTAGTGTGTGGAAAGTCATAGAGGAAGGAAGTACGTTAGTTTCTCTCTTGATTTTCATATAGATTAAAATCTTTTAACTTGAAAAACTATATGGAACTGAAAACTACATTAAACATAGTTCTAAAGAAAAGTATCACGGAAATTTTTAAAAATATTTTTATTAAGTGAAAAGGAAAAATATTAAGGAAAGGGAAAATATCGTAGTAGATTCCTATATAACTGAAAAGAGGAGGAGAGGGAAGGGAGAAGGGCTAAAGGCATGAAACCGGTCTCTCCCCAGATGGCGTATTCGAGTGTTGCGATCGCGAATAGTAGAGCTTGTTCTACTTTCCATCCA